GCAAATTTGGGGTGTGACACAGGAAAACAATCAATCATATATACAAATAAAAAAAGACCTATTGTAAAATTCACAGAAGGTAAGAAAAAAGTGGGGTTTTTTTCCTCATACAAAGACCAGATTAATAAATGGAAGCAGCATTTTCAGCAATAAGACTGAAGCACAAAGGAAGTTGGGGAACCCCACCTATCATACTAAAAATTCTTGTGAAGTTCAGTTCCATATAGTAGTTATATATCTAGATATCATTCATAGTTTCACAAAATATATAGAAAAATGTTCATGTATTTAAATAAACAGTTTCAGATTGTGGAACTACATCTCTAACACCTCTTTTAGCTTTAAATGAGCCCATGTGATGATTCTGTCTAGAGGAAATGTGTTGCAATTGTGAAAGTTAATTACATAAAGAAAACATGTTTCCTCTAAAAATACCTATTTTTATTAAAACATCACTCCTTCATTTCAGTTCATATAGAAAATCACTCCACTCAGGAAATAAATTTGAGACCAGAGAATAAATCCAACACAGGGATAATAGGACAGATGGGTTGTCTGCATTTTCTTAATCAAACCTCCTGGGGCGGCTTTCCCACAGAGATTGGCTGAGAACTCTACAAATTGTTGCCAAATGTAACTTTTGGACACCTACAGCATTCTAAAATGGCTGCTCTAAAACCCCAGCTGTTAAGTTTGGTTTAGTGGCAAACATACCACAGAATTCACCACAGACTCTTTTGAGTGTGTAGAAGGCACCTGATATGATTTGCTTGATATCTAAGCATCCCTTGCGTTTGGTTTATGACAGATGCACCACCTTAGTTTTCAGCTTCCAACGGCTGTCCCAAGGGCCTATGACTGTTCTCCACCTGCTCTGTAAAACCCAGCGATGGTCACTGTTAGCTTGCATCTCAGATCATACTCTTCTCTGTGCCAAAACTGTCCAAAGAGCTTTCTTTTTACTTACATGTCAATGAACAAAAATTACAATTCTTGCCTCTGTAAATGTAGAAATTTAGAAATTCCACTACCCATCAAGAGCCCAGTCACACCACTTCCTTGTCACTGAGATCAGGTGACTCTCAACCACTTTGGAAAACTAACCAATTTAAGGATCTATATGAATAGCCATCACAGATCGATTTTTGCATTTTCTTTCAAATGATTCATGCTTAAAAGTGAAATTAAAACACCCTCTCTTCTTGTCCTCCTGCCTCCAAGCCCTGTTCGCAAACTCAATACAGGGAAAGCCAGGGACATACCAACATTTTTGGATACAAAATTTCCTGAATTCATAGGCTGTTTAGGGTCTTCAGTTTGCTCATCCTAAGTTCCCAAGCCTTTAATTGCCATAGAAACTTCCAGTTAAAGGGGACAGTATTAGTAGCTGAATATTCTGATTGGAGTTTGACAGGAGTTTCAGACAGGCAAGGATGACCTTTATCACACTCTTTTCCCTTTTCCTTCATGGCAAGAGACCCCCAGAAGCACCAGTGAACATAGTCCGAAAGCAAGTTCTGTGCCCTCCACTCTTAACATTACTTCTTCCACTCTTCCCCTGCCTCTAACAATGCAAACCAGCTTTGAGTGTTGTTGGTTTTTTTTTTTTAATTATAAATTCTAGCTCTTCTGGTGAAGACTTGTAGTGTATTTCTACAAATATTCACAGTTCTCTGCATTGTGGAAAAAGTATAACCTTTGGTGTCCACCTTTCTTAAAGATATTTGCCACCAGAACTAAACATGAGGGAGCTTGGTTTTGTGTTCATTTTTCTTCACCCACAAGGCAGATAGAGAGCGGATAGATGGTCTCTGTAGAATCAATAACACCAGGGAAACGAGAAAATTTTCTGATGTTCAAATCAATGCCGCTCTCTGAATCTTCTTATAGTTCAATTTTTTTAAGGGGAAAAAAAGGTAATAAAGTTCTGGCTTTTGTTGGGTTTTCCCATAGGAAATCAGCTTCATAGTAATACTGAAAATAATTTAAGGAGTATACCTGTCTGCATCTTTTATCAGCTTGCTCTTCCATGGGGTTCCTGCTCTCTGCATTTATCTTTTCTTTTGGCCCCCAAACATAATTTCACATCAGTTTTCAGCCTTAAACTCCAAAGTCCAGTGACAATTCCCTAAGGCAATGGCTTGACTTGCTTTGTTAAAATAGCTTGCAGACTCCAATACAAACATTGTAGTGACCAAATGATGCTAATTGTTCATTTCTGGCGACAATAGAATATGACTTAAGAGGAAAAGACATCCAACCCAGCTGCTCGTCTTTTAAGGCCAAATGGGAGTTTTATTATCAGGTCTTTTATTTTGAATGAGGGTTTTGCTAAAAGTTCTCTCAGATACCCCTTACAGTTTCAAGATTTGAGAACAACTGAATCCATGTAGACAAGACCAGTGCAAAATTGCCAGTTCTGACTTTTGATACATGAAAATGGTTGGATCATTTCCTTTCCACAGAAGCGTTAAGTCAGCCCAGGTCATCTGTAACCAGCAGAGGAATAGCAAGCAAAAAGCAGTCAAGGGAAACAGAAAAGACTGTGATGGCCTGGTCAAAGCCATAGCCTCAGGGATTACTTAGGAGGTTGTTTCCTATGTTAAGACACAAGTAAGTGCCTCAGCTGTCCTGTACTTTCCCTGAACTCAGCCTCCAACTCATAAAAGCATTACCCTCATTTTTCAAAAAAGACCCTAAATCCCAGAATTGCAAAAGTGTTAACCTGGACAAAACCCACGTGTCGAGATTAACGGCCCACAGTGAAATCTGTCCATATTGACAACTCTAAGAAAGAAATACAATGCAAATCTCCCAAAATCTAACTGTAAACTACCAAGAATAAAGGGCTTGGTGTCCTAGTTCAAATGTCGAAATACTGACAGTCCAAGGGAACTAGGCTGGATGTTTTTAAATTCTATTAACATGTATTTGTGTTATGAGGTGCTGTTGGTTTCTTTTTTTAAAAAGATTCCCTATTATAAAGTCCTTGATCTTGCTTTATGTTTTTACTTAAGCCTAGACCTCTTCACCTCAGATATAAAAAAAAAAGACTTTTTAGAGAAATTTTGCTTGTAAAGGAGTTTGGGTCAGGAACTGAAAAGATAAACCCCAACTTAAGTCTTGATTGCAAATGGCTCCACTAGAAAACCTGCAGTGGTAGAATGATATTTGCATAGCTGTAAACAGTGACTCTCTAAGCCTTAGGAAAATGACACATCTTCTTTGCAGACACCAGGAACAGGTAGTGAATGATGAATTTGGTGGCAGTGTGCATCCCCCAGAAGGATAATTTCATTTTGAAGGCTCTGGAATTCAGGTTTTGTTTCCCTAGGTGAAGAGAAAACATTCTTTTAGGTAAATGGCTAGATCAAATATTTAAATGTGCTCTCTTAAGGAGTTTCTGGTATCATACCAAGTGTAATTTATGTTTGCCTGAAGATGCAGCAGGGAAAATATGTTTCTGAATAATAGAGAGACTGTAGCTTTAAGGAAGGTGTGTTGTACTGTTCTAGAAGAAGAAAATAGAGAAAGCTTCGGTAAATGGCAGTTACTTGTATAGTATTCTGTACAGCAAAGAGTATTCTGTACAGCAAAATTAATGACAGAAGGCAAAGTGAATTATGCAACTGTTCAGGTCCCATAGAGAAAGCAGAGATTTTGCTAGAGGCTATGGGGTCAGAAATTCAACCGAGGCTGGCGACTCAAGCTAGTCACATGAGGAAGGATGCATTTTGCATAGGCCCCTTAAGATAGTAATTTACTGATGATTTTAAAAAAGGAATAAGGTGAAGCAGTCTCGTCCCTCCAAGACCAGGCAGGGACTATACTCAAGGGGTGGGTCTGAGTATCCTATAGCTCTAAGTCCACCTGAGAACAAGTATTTTGACCCCAAACTATTCTTTCTCACTTTCTTAAAAGGTAGCCAAATAGGTGAGGTGGATAAATTGGAAGATTTTAAGAATTCTGTCTGCCTTCTACTTCTGAGGTTAGTATGGCCTCCCAAATTCTCAAATCCTGACCCAGTTCAGGGAAAAGGAAAACCAAATGATTAGTGTCTGGGTTCATGATTTTTCCCTGCATGCGAATCACACCACAAAGAGAAACAAAATGCAAAGCTAAGAGAAAAGAATGTAGTTAACATCTCAGAGAAGTGTGCTTTTTATTTGCAAGCTATGAAATAAGTTATTGCATAGAAATGCAAAAAGTAGAGACTCAATTTAATCTGAAGAAAATTGTCCCTTTGGCTTCCGGGGCAAGAATACTTACTGGAGGAAATTAAGAAACAATTTTCATGGGACTAAACAGTCCCATCCTTTCAGAGTTCATTTTCCTATGTCCATCTTCCTCATCTGCCTCAATAGCAGCTGAGCTAAATACTCACTAAATGGAAGAACTCTATACACAGAATTAATCAATTGCAGTGTTGTATTTGATGGTCTAGAACAGGTAATAGCAAACCATGGCCTGTGGGCCAAATCTTGCCCATTGCCTGATTTTGTAAATAAAAGTTTTATTGGAACACAGCACCATACTCATCCATTTACATATCGTTTATGGATGTTTTCACTCCACAACAGCAGACCTGAGTAGCTGCAAAGGAGACTGCATGGCACACACAACCAGAAATATTTACTATCTGGCCCTTTACAGAAAAAAGTTTGCCAATTCCTGGTCTAGGATGTCACAGTCCACATTGTACAGAGCAGAGGTTATTGATCCTATGGGATTGTACATAGCCCTACTCTCCCACAACAAAAAAGTATTGGTAAAACTATATATTCCATGTACAATATACACTTTGCTAGGGAGAAGGTCCTAGCTTTCAACAGTCTGAAAGGAGTTCATAGTACCCCAATTAAAGCTAAAGAAAACCAAAGAGTATCTTTAGCTACCAGCACATTTAACAGTGCCACACACACACACACACACACACACTCTTATAGCCCTAGACAAAAGGTACATGGACCTTCTAAAGTAAAATCTTTTTTCCCATTCTGTCAGATTTGGTAGCTTCCTCTTCCTAGATTTTACTCTGGCATTTTCGTTCTAAATATGTAAATGTTCAGGAGTCCAGTTGAAAATTGCATCTTTCACTTGCCAGTTCAATAAAATGGAAGATTCCTTTATGCCAAGAAATCTCCATATAATTCATAGATTAAGAAGGTAAAATCCCCAGCATAATAGAGGTTAAATTTATTTCATTAGATCTGATAAACAGGTCCAATGAATTTTATAAATATATGAATCCTACTTCAGGGTTAGAAGGAGTTGCATAGCTAAAAAAGCATTTAGGTTGGAAAATTAAGAAGCAGGTATCCATTACCCTTTCAGGCCAAAGATAACGTGTTTTGTTCAAGGCCTTTGGGAGAAACAGAGTAGTTTCTCTGAGCAGAGTTGGTGAAGTCTCTTGGTCAACAAAAGCATTTTTAGCGTTGAACTATGAAAATGCCCTCTCTGCCTCCTTTGTGATTATATTCCAGAGATACTAAATCAATTGCATTTGGAGAAACCAGATGCCTCGTCAGTCTCAGTGCTGACCTCCTCCAATGCTTGGGCTCATGAGGGTTTCATTTTCTAGACTCTGACATCAAGTGTTGCAGGGGTGATGGACAGCAAAGAAGGACAGGACCTCAATTGAAAATCCTAATCAACCAGAGGCAAGCAAAAACAATAATAATGGTGAAACACAAAGAGTGAAGTGATGCAGGGGACTGAGTAACCAAGAATTCCATTTTGAAGGTCACCAACTGTAGACAGTGCTAATAACCTCAGTATAACATATATCTATGGTTCCCAAATTGAGATATTCTGAGGCTCTGCAGCAAACTCCTAGGGACACCACAAGATATTGTACATTCTTGAGGGAGACACAGCCACATCTGCAGTACAACCTGCAAACTACTATGATTAAGTTGTGTAGACCTAGCTACTTAATAAATGGAACTATTAAGTATTTATTTTGGCCCAGGGCACCATGGAAAAAATTTCTAAGACAATCAATGGCATCCTGAACAGAGAAAGTTTGGGAATCTCTGGCATATACATTTTGGGGTTAGGCGTGGAGAATATGCAAGAACTGTAAAATGCAAACAATTCTGAGCTACACCCACACAATACTCATTTTCCATTTTAGATTGCATAAGCAAGATAGAAGCTGCCCATTTGTTCTGACTACATCAGTGTGACCAAACAGAGTCACTAGAATAATGGGCTGTCAGGGCCTTCAATCATGGCTGGCACATGAGTGCCACGTGGGAAATCAGGGATTATCTGACTGATATTTTATTATCAACTATATACACCTATGTGAGTTCTTTCTCCTTTAGTCACCATCTGGGGAGGCTCTACACTTATTCCAGGAAGGCTGACTTTGCTTAAAAATAAACACACTTTTTTGAGAAATCTGCACTTGAAATTATCTTCAGAACTCACGGCATGGTCTTTTTAAAAGACATTTAAAAGTTTTAAGGGTAAAACTTCAGCACTGAGGGCAAATTTTACTTCTAGAAGTTGCCAAACACAGCCTGATGCTAAGTCTGAACAAGGTGGGTAAACCAAAGAGGAAAATTCCTGGTAAGGATTTTTGTAAAAAGAAACAAACAAGGAATAATTATAAAATGATGATTCCACATGTTACACGCAGAGGAAGAAATAGATTCTGAAGCCTTTTCTGAAAAAGAAGTGGCACAAATATCTTAGTAGCATTATTCACATAAATAATCCTGAAGGTGGCTGCTCTGAAGGGCAATACTCATTGATACATACAAATGTATGGAAATTGTCTCCAAAGACATTCACATGACTTTTTTAGCACACCTCTGAGATCAGTAATATATAGAGATGGATTTTTTTTATAAGCATAAAGACAATATATAATATGGATAATTACATGGATAATTATATTACACCAAATCAAATACATCTGGGGGAAAAAAAGAGTATGATCTCTTTTATAGAGCCATACTGACTCCATTATAGGCAGCGCTAGTATTTAAATGGTACATGCTGGTAGCACATTAAATATTTTGAGTATCACCCCTGGATAGCGCTATCTTTTCTCTCCCTCCCTCCCTCCCTCTCTCTCCCCCCACACAAACACACACACACACACATATACCTATACATATACACATGTATGTACATACAGGAGACTCCCAACTTACATCAACTTAAATATAGTTTCTGCATCTCTATATTTATTTTTAAATTAGTTGTTTAGAACTTATAACACAGTTCTAAAAAAAATTCTAAAATTTAGACTCATAAGGTTCTCAAACCATTCTACTTCAGTACATAAGATACCTAATCATCATGTAGCACATCATTTCTACGGGGAAACGGTATCCCAAATTTCAAATCAGTATTCCAACCTCCCTTTAGGAGGTAGTAGATCAGTATTTTCAGCCCTGATGCACATCTAAATCACATGAGTAGCTTGTGAAAAATACCAATTGCCAGGTCCTCTTCTGACCAATTAAATTAGAATGTCTGGGACCTTCGCATTAATAGTGTTCACAAACACCCAGTGATTCCAATGTGTTGCCAGAGTTGAGAACCATTGATTAACTCCTTCTGTACTCTAGTGTGACTGTTTTGCAAGTTTGGGCCCTGGGCTCACAAACTGGAGAGGTGTACACATGAGAAACATGCTTGGTTAAGAATATTTCAAAGTAGAAACCACACTGAACAAGAGAGAGGTAAGAATCATCTGACCCAGACCAGAAAGATGTTTTGCTTTGTGTATTTCACCAAAAGCTGAAATGAAATAGCCTCAGATTTTTTTTTCTGCTTTCTGTTTTTCAGAAGATGGATGAATAACAGTTGTGATTTTTTTTTCTCTCAGTCTCGGAGAAACTTCCAAATTTAGAAAGAAGGGTAGGAAGGTGAATGGTCATAATCACTGGGATAATGCCCTTCATCTGGCTAGAAAAAGATGAGGACAGAGGTAGCATCAAAGCAGATGAATTTGATGTTATCAAACAGGTCTGGGTTGGAACTGAAAATAAAGAAGTGTATGGAAGTGTCATTCACTCTGGGCAACTGCTAAGAGCTGGATGTCAAGACAAGGGGAAAATGCAGAGAAAAAGATGTAACTGGACTTCAAAAATCTAAAAGGGAAAGAGAGTTTTCAAGGGAGAAACCCTCTCTCCATATTTGTGAACTTGAGGCAAAGAAAGAAACAGTGTGTTCTTTCCTTTTTTTATCACACTCCTCTGCCCTTGTACTGTAAGAGTAGCCTCGGAGGAACACAGTGTCCAAAAGCAGGGCTCCCTGGTAGTTATCACTCGTCTTTTTCCCTGTGGACCAGTTAACTCTTTGACCTTCGAGGAACCCAAAGCCCCAGATCAGAGAACCTGTGGGTGTATCTGGCCATGAGAAACAGCTTTTGTAGCCTCGTCAGCCTACTAGGAATCTGCCATGGCGCCAGCCTCCCACCGTGGGGTGATCCGCTGATGGAGAAGGTGGTGCCTTGAACTCAGCCTGTGGAAGTGTGGCTGTCTATTCCTAGGAATTCATTCAACCCTCCCCGTTACCATATCCAAGAACTACCGGCTGCCTTTAATTTTCTCCTATTGCAGCCTTTCCATGTACAGTAAGGCTTCTTCATCGAACAGAAAACAACTCCTCCCCCCCCAAGAAAAAAGAGCTACAAAGGCAATCCTTGGGGCTTATACATTGTAGGAGGGGCAAAAGCAGAGGAAGTCACCGATTCTCTGTGTGGTTTGACATATTTCCCCTCAGGACTGATATATGTCATCCTTACTAAATATAGGTGTTATTTATAATAGCCATTTGGCAGAATTTGTGACTTATCAAATACACACACACGTAGAAGGAAAGATAGGTGATGAAAAAAATCACATCACAAATCACATTCCATTGATACTATACCACTAATGTCAAGAGAACCAAATCTGTGACTCTTTGACCTGTGATAAAAGGGGTTTTATGTTTTTCAGACTCAGGGAAAGAGTATGACCAGGATACCTTGCCACTTCACCAGAATATGTGGTGATTACCCAGGCTGGAGCAGAAACTTAGGAACATGGCAGTAGCCACAACAGCTGAAATAGGTATTTCACAAGAGCTCCTGGTTGACACTTACATAATACTCCTAAAGATGCACATTAAATAATTTCTTCTGGACCACAGACACAATTGAACTTAAAAAATAAAAACCCTATAAATACTGCCAACCCAACCTTGTCTTTTGTCTCTCCCTCCTTGGCATAAAATGGAATCTCTTCAACCAAGCACTTAAACATAAATATTAAAATAATAAGTGGAACGAACTACAAATCTACTTACAATTTCATCACTACTGTAGCACCTTTTTTACCAGGGCCAAAGCATTCATTTTGTAAAGAACAAGAGAAGTCTGAAAAGCTTAAGGACTCATATGACACATCATTAAATATTTAATCACCTTTTCAAGTCCTAAGCCTTTATCATATTTCATCCATCTAGATAGTTCACTCTATACTATAGATTCCAAGGCCCCCTTTGTAGGGGAAAAAAAAAGAAAATGGGGAGAAAAACCTTCTGAGAGGCAGGGTTAAGTTATTGGCGCTTTAGTGAACTTGCTTCACCCCATAAACCCACCAGTCCACAGGAGGGTCAACCAATTGAGTCCATTGTTTTTAGTCTCCAAGAATTGATTTTACAAAGGATGCCACATCTGTTCCTTTGGATTCGTGTAGAGTGAAAAATGGATGTTGCTGGTAAAGAAAAGAAAAATACCTGGTATTAGTGTTTGTCACTGACAGTACATGAGATTAGCAAATTAACAAATCTGGTTGGTCAACAAATTAAGTATCCCTATTAGGGCTAAACTGGACTCTTCCTACCCCCTCCCAAATTAAGCACACATTTAGCAATGCAAAATTTTTAAAAATACCGCTTAGTTAATGCTCCTCCCATTTTGGTATCTCTTTGTTTCCATGACAGTATCTGTTGCTTTAAAATATACATGTGTAATTAAGCTATATACATCCCAGCTATAGTAAAATATAAGGAATAGCAGAGTCCAAAGCTCTGATTTACAAATAACCCTATCCTCTACAAAGTCATTTTTAGACAGATATGGTAGTAAAATAATTAGAAATTTCATAGATTTATGAACACTCAATTTTCAAGAGATGGGTGATAGACATAAGACTTAAGGAATTTATTTATGGATAGTAGTAACATTTTTCTACTATTTGTCCATAATATATCATACTTGCTCCTACAAAAGAAAAAGAAAAAGAAATGGGTGGTAGAATGAGAAAACAATTTTTGTGGAACAATAATTGGGCATTGCTTGCCCTTGACACTGGAAAGCTGGTCTGGGTTGAAACAGCTAACAGTGCTACTTTGTAAGCCACATCTACAGCCACAAATTATACTTAGGTTTCTCGATGAAGATCTGATCCATTTTGGAAAATAATGCAGCCTGCCCAACTCTAGGTGTGGGCAAAGAAAACTCAACTGGGAGATTAAAAACTGAAAAGCAAAAAAAAAGTGTCTATTCATGTAACCCAGATGAAGTAAACTTTACAGAAACATCAAGCCCTGCTCTTTCCTAGGGGAACAGCCGTGGTCCAATACAGGAAGCCACACATTTCAAAACAATTCTGGAGGAAACGAAGACATTTTCTCTGCGCCAGGGTGATTTGATCCTCCCTTGAATGGCTCAATTTTGTTACTGGAAATACCTGGCTGTCACACTCGAACCTGATACCTCTAATTAGAAGTAGATCTTGATCCACAGTTCTCCCATCTGAAACAGAACCAACCAAACCAACCAAAAAGGACAATTCCTTCAGGTAGAACCTAGTGCCACCACCTACCCACTGACCTAGCATGGCCACCTCCCTGACTGTCTGGTGGTGGTGTTCTCAGTGACAAGCTGAGCAGCTAAGAATGAGCATTTCTGCACGCAGAAATCTAGGTGACTCACCCTGTTTCCCTTGACTTTGAGGATTTTAGTTTACAACCTTCATGTTGCCTAGCTGTAGGTTTTCTCATTACATTTGTTTTAAACCTGACGGCAGAGGGCTGGATGAGTCAGCCCTGTGGGAAACTGAATGCCCACCCGTGGAAGTTTTAGAAAACAATGTAAATGGGACAGGAACATAGAAGTAAAGCTCCAAAGAAGGTAGGTGGTCACCGTGAAGTATCATGACTCAGAAAATGGAAAAGAGGTTTTCTCCCCTTGCCCACGTGAAGGTACAGGTTGGGTGAGGAGCCAGAGCCTCATACCCACTGCTAACTGGAGCCTCTAGATGCTGGGTTCTTCGTCTTGAGCTCCCTGGATAAATTAATAGCAGCTTTACTTTTGATTACTAACCAGCTACACAGCACCCTTACCAAGTGCTTTACCACCATGCTTATTCACTTTCCCAGATCCTCTTAATATATGAGATCTTTTAATGTACTTTAAAGCTTTCTACTATCAAAACAGGACCTGTCAAACCTCAGATTGTCTCAGGACTGCTGCTAATGCCTGCCAGCCACGTCTTGACTCTGGTTCCACTGGTGGCTATTAGCTCAGTGGATGTAGTCTGGGTCTGTGATTGAATTCAATAACCTGATGTCTTAAATTAAAAAAAAACATCCGCAGGCATCTTTCAGTTTATTCTCAGGCTGGGAAAATGCTGTGAGAGCCAGAGGGCAGGGTGAGGGGAAAGGCGGCAGGCATGTGAAAATGGAAAGTGTGACTCTCCTTCTTGTGTGGGTTTTGAGGCTGTAAAAGGTTGGGAGGGAACCAGTCCTTTCTATAAGCAATAGACTAAGAATAGCAAGGACAGCAACCAGGGGACGAGCAGATGAGGCACCATGGAATCATCTCCCAGACCATAGTCCCAGGCTAGGTTTCTCAAAAGAGTAGCCGGGTGCAGGAAGGGAGGACTTTATCACCGATTGGGCCTGGAGATCCTTGAACATATGGCAGGAGCACTGGGGCAAGTGACAACCACCAGCGGTCTCCAAACCCCCTGAAGACACCTCATCCCTCAAGACTACGGTTTTCTGAGTTCAGTCATCCTTGCTCAAGACTGTGATTTAATCTAGAACTTCCAGGGATGTTTGGAGAACATAATCACCTCACTGAGCACCACTTGAATCACCTGCTTTTCATCTCTGGTGGTTATCATCTAGGACAGGGGTCAACGATGGATGGTCCAGGAGCCAAATTCTAGCTCGTCGCCTATTTCTGAAATAAAGTTTTATTGGAACAGAGCCACACCCCTCTGTTTACACACTGAATGTGGCTGCTTTCATAATGAAACAACAGAGTCAAGGGGTTATAACAGCCCAAAACACCTGAAATATTTACTGTCTAATATTTACAGAAACATTGGCTGGTCCCCTACTCCAGGAGAACAATTCCTACTGAGTCATGTGCCCCAGTGGAATTTTGAGAGGACAAGCAAATGAAATGACCTTAAAGCATGTATATACTCCTCAGTCCCATTTAGGGAGAAAACATTTGGGATTTCTGTAAGAGGTACATGTCTGGGTTGGGGCCTTAATTATACTGTTCTTCACCTGGAAAAAAGGGTGTTTTTTTTTTTTCTTCCTTTCTACCTCTTCACCAACTCCTACAACATAAACAATAGCCTCTCAGCATGTGTTTTTCCAACACTATAGTCAAAAAGTTGACTCAGATTTTCCATTTAAAAACCTCAATTCCACAGGAAAGCAGTGACCATTTGTGGCCTTAAAAGGCAAGTCCATTTCCAGGACCGCAAAGATTAATGCCATAACTGGGAGGGGGGGGCACATGATCTTACAACATTAATATGTGGAGCATAAAAGACCACCCTGTTAGAATATATTGGAAGATAGAATTCAACATCAGCTGCCAAGGTATATTAAGCTAGGACTGAGCATTTCTTTCCTTGAAACTTCTGATAAGCACTCACTTAGAAGGAAAAAAAAAAGTTCTGCATTTTAAATATCTGCAAAAATATATAAAATATTCTTTTATCTGAAAAGAGTGACAAACAAGGCAACTTTAAAATAGGAGTACAGGCTCTCCAGGACCCCAAAGGAATCACTCAATGCCCATTGCACTTAATGTGAAATTAATTTTTAGATGATCTGTGGGTTGCTTAAGCATACTAAAAAAAAGTATGGCCAGGACTGCCAAGGCCCCTGACTGGCTATTGTACATATAATCAGAGAGGAAGTACTCAACCAAAACATGCAGTATCCTAAGATTTTCTCAAGCATTACTCATCTCTCCCTCAAGCTTAGTTGAATGCTGAGTCCCAGGGGCTGCCTTTTTAGAGGGGACAAAGAGGCCCAGGAAGATGGCCTTTTCTCTTCTCAAACTCTTCCCTGCATCCTTCCACAGTCATCCACCTGAAGAATAGTTCAGACTTTAATCTTAAGCAACAGAACTGAAAATCCACCTGCTTAGCTGTGACTACCACCTACTGTCCAGATCTGCCTTCTGCTCTCCTAGCAACTTGTGAGTACATAATACAGTGACAGTCACCATACTCTGCTTTATAGCCCCAGAAGTTACTCATCTTATAAACAGAAGTTTGTATTTTTTGACCACCCTGACCCATTCCCCACACCCACATAACCCTGGTAACCACCAATCTACTCTTTGTAAATTCAGTTTTTTAATATTCTACATTTAAGTGACATCATGCAGGTTTTTTTTTGGTCTGACTTACTTCACTTAGAATAATACCCCTAGGCTTCATCCATGTTGTTGTAAATGGCAGGATTTCCTTTTTAATGCCCAAATAATATTCCATTGTGTGTGTACATATATATATTTTATTCATCTATCAGTAGACACTTAGATTGTTTACACATCTTGGTCATAATAAATAGTGCTGCAATGAACATGGGGATTTAGATATCTCTTCAAGATAGTGATTTCATTTCCTTCAGATATATGCCCTGAAGTGGAATTACTTAATCATAAAATAGTTCTATTTTTAATTTTGTGAGGAAACTCCATAACTGTTTCCTATACCTGCTTTTGCAATTTACATTCCTACCAGCAGTGTACAGGATTCCTATTTCTCTGAATCTTCACCAGTGCTCATCTCTTGCCTTTCACGCCTTTCTAACAGGCATGAGGTGCTGTCCCACTGTGGTTTTCACGTGTATTTCCCTGATGAGCAGGGATAGTGAGCACCTTTCCATGTGCTTGTTGGCAAAAATCAACAAGTGGGACTACTTCAAACTAAAATGCTTCTGCACAGCAAAGAATCAAAAGAATGAAAAGACAATGTATGGAATGGGAGAAAATATTAGCAAACCATAGATCTGATAAGGGGTTATTATCCAAAATCTATAAGAAACTCATACAACTCAATAGCAAAAAAACAAAACAAACAAACAAAAACAAATAATACAGTTAAAAATAGGCAAAGGACCCAACAAGACATTTTTACCAAAGAAGACAGTCAACAAGTTATACTTTTTCCAGGTTGGAGCCAACTCACCACACCATTTGTTAAGACATATCAGGAACCTGGACTTCTATCACCTGCCCTGAGTTGGTTCTGAAGATTGAGCACTGCTTATGGGTGGGATAGGATAGGAGCAAGCATTTAACGCCTGCTGAATATGCGCCAGTAAGAACTGCTGTCAGTGTTTGCTTTTATCTTTTTTGTAATCATGCGTGACTAGAACCCTTCCTTTCCTTGCTAAAATTAAAACCTTAAGAATTGGAACAAATCTAGGGAGGTACTAACACAACATTAGTAAATAGTCTGAATTTTATATTTCAAAAAAAGTGTGTTTCTCCTACATTCATTATATGTATAGATAAGGATTGCCAAGTTTAGGTCCCTGCCATCTATATTAAAGAATCATCTGTAACTAGCTTAGAATTGCAGTTACCACAATTTAAAAGAAACTATTTAAAAACAATAACCCTAAGGTCTTACTTTTATATCATTTTTCATAGTGCAAATGATAAATTGTGAATGCTGAGGTCATATAATTCAAATTAATAAAGCTTTGTCTAACTTTTTCCCATTAAAGTAAAAACCAGGAGAAAACAAAGTGATTCTTTCCTCCCTAAATATCCAGCAAAACGTTCATCCAGTTAATCCTAAGTATTTTATCAAAAACTGATCAGTCATGTAGTAGTTTAGTTTTTCTCATTATTGAACTCCTTTACATCATATTTTCCTTCATTTTATATTAATTTATATCTCCTAGTACCTTTGAAATGTGAAAATGTAAATTTTAGAGACATAATTTGGTCTACATGATGACAGATGTATTATCATGTAAAAACTTTTGCTAAGACTGGTGACCAGCACCAGGTTATACTAATGAGGGATGTAGGAGGCATGAAGGGCTCAGCTCTCTTTTTTCTTGAGTTTAACTCCATTTACCAATGTCTCAGTGAATCAGCTCTTCCAGGATGGCTGTTTGCTTCTAATGTATTAGGTCTCAGTCATTTCACCTGTACTCGCTGTTCAGACATGTTTACACTGCTGATGATACTTACCATAAGCTCTGGATATGTTGGCCTTTCTTTGGAATTCTTCTTCAAGCTTAAAGGGAAAAAAAAATGATCATATTAAAATCTAGAAGCCATCTGTATTTTCACTAGACTAGGATTTCAGAACCAGTAGAAGACTAAAGAGAACCACCTCTAAAAATGTCCTGAAAACATAAATCTCCCGTCTTGACTTTCCTCTTCCATTACACTTACAAATTATGTTTTCAGTCACTCTGGGTGTACCTTAATGGGAAGAATAAATGCACTTGTTTACTTTCCTTATGATACTTTACCAATGACATAAAAACTAGCTTCTATTAATATATATCTATTTTCCTTCCAAACAGTTTTTAATCCGTCCCCCTACTCGCAAAGAAATTAGCAGGTGTTTCTTATACTACATTTGTTATCTCTTCACTGTCTTCAGTATCTAATTCTTTTTGCTTCTGGCCTCCTTGAATGTATAATTTGTTTATATATATGTATGTATATGTATATATCCTACCAAACCTACTTGACAGAGAAGCAATACACATGTAAAATGTCTAAGGTCACACTACTACTTTATGACTTCTTGGCTGATGAAAGAGAAAGTACACATGGCCAGTGACTTAGCAGTTCTTAGAAACACAAGGTAGTCATGCATTACTGTCAAGTGGCTCCCATGCATTCAGCTGTCTGCATGCACAGACATTTTAATCACATTTGACACCAGAGGCAATAGTAATAAAACTGCCATATAAAGAGACCAACCCCTCACCCCATTCTCTACCCACCCCTGTATTCACCCACAGCCTTAAAATGGAAAAAAAAAAAAAAGAAGTTTCTTTGGAGTTGGAATCCCAGGTTACAGAATGGAGAAAAGGATGATTTCTAAAACTGTAATTTGCAAGGCAACCTACAGACTCCTCTGCCCATCAGGCTGCAGAATCATACATAGATGGAAAGGAAGTTTGCCTGGCATTGAAGGAACCAAAAAGTGACTGATTATTGGGTTGCTGGGATTTGTGCTAATGGATCATTTTGAGCAAATGAGGCCTGGTGTGTGTGACATGAGGTCTGCTCCACCCACGTAGGCTAATAATTGCAGGGAGGGCCAGATACAGAAACAGAGAGTGAAATCGTTGAGACGCTTGGAAAAGCTGTGGTTTAAAAACAAAATGAAATGAAAAAAAAAAAAAAAAAGAGGAAACTTTTGAACCAAAACAACTGAAAGCCGCCTACCAGTTTACTCCAGGCAATGCTGTGGGTAGAAGCCAGGGAACCTGAGACAGGGCACAGGTAGGTGTGAGAAGTTTCAACCTCGAACTGAGGGCAGATCTAGGACCTGGTGACCTCAGTGACCAGAGGATAAAAATAAGAGTGAATTAGAAAGAGGAAGTATCAACTGTCAAAGTTGGATTGACATGGGAAGGTGTGCCTGAGTGAAATGAATGAGACCTTGTCACTCCTACTATCCTGAGATTTTATACGGCTGTACTGGTAGTCCTCAACTGCAGGTAGTTTTGCCCTCCAGGGGACATCTGGCAATGTCTGGAGGACGCATTTCTGGTTGATGCCATTGTTATTGGCATCCAATAGGTAGAGGCCAAGGATGTTGCTAAACATCCCATAATGCACAGGACAGTTCCCCAACAATAAAGAATGATCCAGCCCAAAATATCATTAGTGCTGAGGTTGGGAAACCCTGGGCCATGTGTACTAGGGTTTTCCTCCTCACTGCTTGCTGCCTTCTATCTCCTTCTCTGAAGTGAAATTCACTTAGAAGCATCTCCAACTGGGCACATTCTCACTTCTACACCCCTCCCTACCTCCCACCCCAGGAAGCGAAAGTGTTTCTAAGTTCAAGAGCTAGTTTACCCAGAAGAAACACAGAACTGTGATCCCAGGAATGTGGCTGACTTGCACACATACACTAGTGAAAAAAAGCAAATAGACTAGTAGACAAAAGCTGTGGATTTCCAGCTATTGTTCAAAGCCAGTCAAGAACCAGAAAGTCTTCTCTATAATCTGAACAATTTATCTCCCTAAAACCAGAAAGGAAAAGCACAAAGGTAACATTGAATCCACACTCAGTTGTCAAGTGGTTGATTTCAGGTATCTGTTTAGCTGGATCATTAGTCAGTCATCAAACCCTAACTCGACACTGACTCAGGAAAAGTCTCCTTGAGATCCCATCTTTCCCTTCCCAGCGTTCACTGACCAACAGCGGAACCAAGGGAATGATAGAAAGAAAAGCTTGTTTCTCAAACAATTAAAACAGTGCAACCTGAGATCTTCATGATGTTGCTGATTTTTTACTTTCTACTTAGTAGATAATAAAACAGTATTCTCCCTTCTTATCAGGTAGAAGAAATTAAATACTTACATTTTTTCAAGGAGAGGTCATTTTAAGTCAGGAGGTCTTATTTTTTCACTTGTGGAGCAATTTATGAAAAGTTCTCTGTAATTTTTTTTAATTTGCATAAAGACAATGTAGGAAAAGCCACCGTAAAGTGTTAAGGATTCCTAAAAGCTCGGTGACTGTTGACCAGTAGGCTATTTCTTGACTTATGGCCTCCGATTACAAAACTCAAAATGGACCACAAGCACTACTGCTAGAGTATTAACAGAAAACATTTACACAGCAAACCAAGGCTGTTCACTGAATTAATGTACTGATATAACCCACTCTCTCCATCTTTTAAATCAAGAACACTTCAAAACATGGGCTAAGAATAGCAAAATACTCAGGATAAGGTTAGGGAAAAAAGCAAAAATTCCATGTTTAATAGGAAGTGCTTGAAATTCAGTACAAAATAACAACTGTGGAGTTCAAAGCTATACCAATTTCTTTTTGGACTTGAGTCAGACTTTTGAATTTTCAAGTGGCTTGTCATTTTCAAGCGTGCAATTAGCTAACTGCCCTAATTCCTCTTCCAAATGCCGTAACACACACTCCTGACTGTAGCTGACACCAAAAAACAGCTTCATGCACTCATGAGAATTGCTAGCATGGAGTTTATGCTGACCAGAGGATTTGTGCCTATTTGAATTACCCGACTGTTCCCAAGAAGGGCTCTTTGGTGCATCCACAAAATAAAAACAAAAGAGCCTTCCAAGCCATACGTCTGTCATAAGCTAAATAAAAACCCAGTGCCTCTTTTTACTGTCCTTCCTGAACAAGTAGGGAGCTATGTTTGATTGTCTCTGTTTCATACTAGTTCCTTTGAGTCAGACAGTATCAGCGTGTGGGTGGGCCTCCAACCTACACTGACATGCCATCAGTCTGGTCAGCTGGGCACTGAGCTCTTAAATAGGCCTGCAAGCAAAGCAAGAAGGAAGTCAAGCTGTTTTGGCACTTGGCAGTTGGTCTCCAGTGAACTTTCTTCAGTCCCCAAGACAATGAACCTATAGGAAGAGGTCATGGTGAAAAAAATGTAAGCCTGCCAGGCTTCCACTTTTTGAAGGAACTCATTTGTGAAGCCTTCTGCAGGACTAGAATGTAAGGCTTTTCTATCAGTTTTCTCTGTTGTGAATCCCCAGACAAGGCTTATATGGTCAGCACCCCCGCCCCAGGAACTCTCTAAAACCCCTAAGACAAGAAAGCCATGGGTAGGGAAAAAAGAAAAAGAAAATGGTGCTCAGTGGTCCTATTTCAAAATAAGTATGGAAAAGAAAGGTTTGTAAGAAATCTTTTTTTTTTCTTCAAGATCATAAGGAATAAATGCCTTAACTTTCTTTTCTTTTCTCTCCTCCCTCAACCCTCTGCCCCAACCCAGAGGATTAATGGTGCTCTGATGTTATTGCAAAAGAAAGACACTAGCTGGATCTCTGGGCTCTAGAATAGCCTAACTTTGGATATGATAGTGATAGCCCGTAAGTGCTTCGATTCCACCCCGCAAACCCCAATTTACTGTCAACTGACCAGCAGTGAGCAGAGGAGAGTGACTACCGAGTTGATGGCCTGGATGAAGGCGTACAGGATGGGGCAGCACCATGCTGTCATCAGATGCTTAGGTCATATGCATCCCACGGAAGGTCTCAAATACTCTGACAGATCACCTAGGCTGTCAGTAATGTACCCTTTTTCTTCTACTTCTACATTTAACTCAAAGACAGATGTAGGAAATTAAAACACAGATGCATCTTTCTCAAATTTTGAGATTAAATTGTCCATTTTCCAAGTTTGTAGTCCCTTTTCCCCACTTTCCACAAAGAGTTGGGGTTTTTTAGATGTCTTCAAGGGTCACAGACATCAATACAGGAAAAAAAAAAACCCACATGGAGGTCATTCAAAAAAGGGTCCTTTTCTGAAGATACATCTCAAAAATATAGTTTTATTCACAAGAAAATGGAGGAACAGGTATAAAAGGGAGTTATAGGCTATATCCTTCTTTCATCAGGAAATAGAAGAGGTGTTTTTAGGTAGTGATTATTTTTCCATTCTTTCCACCCAGCTCCAAATCAAACTTAAAACTGTCAGTAATTTGTTTCAAAAGTGAATAACTAAATTGCTACTGGGGTCAGGTGTGTTTCTGTATACTAATACATATGAAAAATAAAATTGCTTCCTTAAAGATCTAAGCCATTCATAAAATTCCCCCAAAAATCAATATAATTTTTTGAAGCATTAGACAACTTTTCCAACTCAGTTGACTTCACAAGAATGTTCATACTAAGGGGGTATTAAAAAATATATTGATAGTTTATGGTAGGCAAAAGACCATTGACCTGGCATCTGAAATAAGAGAGCCTATACTCTTTAAAGTCCAACCAAGGGTAAGTAAGAATGCTCATAAAATTCAGAATTAATGCCCCCCTTATATTTCCCAAACAATATTAACAGAATTCACAATTCCAAGAAACCTGGAAAATGTGTATGGCTCAAAATTTTTAAATTAATGAACTACAGTAGCTGGGACTAAAAATGAGAGAAAACAAGAGGGAAACGGTGACCTCAGAAGGGTGACCATGAAGATACTTTGTTCTGTGGGGGACAGTAGGAACAGGGTGGTTGCTATAGAAAGAGCAATAAATAGTACAAGAATCTGCAATTTCCACAGATGTGTGCATACATTAAAATTAGAAAAAATTTTATTTTTTTTCAAAGCTTTCATTTTTTAAATATCTGTAAAAAGCTTTAACACTCTTGACTCTTCAGGGGAAAGTCTAAGTAAGAGAAAAAAAATTGGTCAAAGGAAAATAAAGTAATTGAACAATTTTTCAAAAAAACTGTAGAAGAAAACAGTTTTTTAAACAGGAAGCAGTTGATAACAGGTCCATAGATCACAGTTGTAAGTCAGGGGTCTCACGCCAGCTGTACAGTAGGATGATTTGAGAACATTTGAACAATTCTGATAATCAGAACCCTCCCCAGACCAATTAAGCCAGAATCTCTGAGGCTGAGGCCTCGGTGACAGTACATTCAAAAGCTCTCACATGTTCTATCAGTGAGCAACCAGAACTGAGAATCACGGGACTAAACTGGTGATTCACAACTGGCAACTTGGCTTTCTCAAATTTTTCACACCAGCCTTGTTCTTACCAAGATTTTCGGAAGTGCTCAGAATGTTGGGAAAAGGGGCGAGGTGGGAGAAAGCTTACAAAGAGGATAGTTTGAAAAGGCTTCCTTGGATAAGATCCTTTCCCATTACCACTCCTTTTTGAGAACTGTTGGTTTGAACTATCCAAGATGACTCATCCCTTTTCCTATGTGACCTTTAAACATCTGAGGATAAGGAAAACAAAAAATGAAAACTAAGCTCTTGAATCCAGAGGCAAAAATCATGAACCCATCTAAACCTGGCAGGTGTACCACGACGTCCTGCACACTCATGCAAGGAAAGCAGATGGGAGGACACATCCCAGAGGCCCAGAGGATGTACACATTACATCCAGCAACATACTGTATGTACTACAGCCCATTGCTCCAGCCCTCTCTGGCCTTCCAGCCAAAACTAAAACAAAAACAAACAAAAAACAATGGTAGGTCAGCATCATATATCATTAGGGAAAAGTACCAGGGGTGACATGGAGCTTAAGGGCTGAGGCCTTAGTTTCACAAGCAACAGTCAGCTGCTTTGTCTCATCATGTTTCCCAATAGAAGCTTCTTCCAAAGAGCATGGAGGCCAAGGGAATGATAACCTTGAGGAAACCAGACTCTCAAACAGCCTTCAGAACTCCAGCCCCTTCCTTAGCAGCAAGTGGCCAAAATTCCTCCTCTCCAAGGATCACAGCAGGGCTTGTCACCATCTCTGATTCCCCTTCCTCTGATTCTCATCTGCTCTGCAGGTCCCCAAATAAACCACCTTGGTTCCATTTTAGCATCCTCTTTCCAGCATCACTTGCAATGATCATTAGTATCAGTCATGCTAGACATCATGCTCCCTCTGCAGATGGAAACCACTAGGTTTTCTGGAGAAAACTATCCCCTCTCCTAGTTTCCTAAGTTCCACTGGCAATTTCCACGAAAACAAAATTAACAGCCTTAGTAATGGCTCCTTCTATCTTTCTACTCCATCTTTCTTTAGATACCTTTCTCAGACCCGCAGGACTATCCATTGTACCCTTATGGGAAAGAGTGTCCAAAAATTAGCAAGTATTCTGTAAGAAGCAGCCTACAAAATCCTAGAACTACTTTGCAAGTAGCTCTTCTGGGTACCTAAATCATGCTCTGAAAATAGCGGCTGTCTTCTCATCTGAAGTAATTCTTTGCATCGTATCTACTCTCTAATCCTAATCCTCTAGTGGGTCCATCCACTTTTATCTTTATGCTCTGGTCAACATCAAATGGCTTAAAACTCTCATAAAGGAGTTTCTCACTTTTGCGACATGATGCACGATATTCCTTCTACTTGGAATACTCCTACTTCCCTTTCCCTTGGAAATACCTCACAGGGTCCCAGCTCAGGATTTATCTCCTCTGAAAACTCTGTCTAATACCTTTCCTCTGAGTTCCCCTAATACTCTATGCATATCTGCATCACTGGGCTTTCCATATGGTACTATAGTGACTGATTGGTGAAACTCTCCTCCTTGACTCTGAGCTCAGTGAAGGCAGGGACTGGGACAGAGGCATCTTTGTTGCTTCAGCATTGAGGGCACACTCCATCAGTGCTCTTGGGATGAATGTATGCATCATGGGTTGACACCAATGGAAGAGAGTCATGAGAGCGCCTCTTCTTCCCTAACACTGGCATCTGGGAGACGGGATCTCTTACCACTGTGAGGTAAAGTCAACAAACTCTTCAGAGAACTTGTCTGCAGGGAGTTGTGGTGATGGCTCCTCTACTACCTGTTTGAGCTGCTGAAAAGGCGTTCCCCACGAATCATAGGGAAACCGAAGGATGGCCAACTCAATCTAGAGAGGAGAGGAAAACAAGGAGGTGAGCTTAAATAGAGCTACTTGTTTAAACAGAGAATCCACTAGGGAACCCGTTTTGTTCCAGGAGAACCAGAAGGAAACATGATGGTGACGATCAAGTTAAATCTGGGGGGAAAATAAAATGTTCTCTCACAATTTTCCTCCAATTCCTTGTGCTAGGGATTTTCAGATAATATCTTACTAGAGACAGCCACTTAAGTCTATTTAAAACTGAGTCCTCACTAACACCCAGTGTGGCACTTAATAAAATTGTAAGCCAGCAGTATTAAACTTCAGGATATAAAGCCACTAGGCTTTCAAATGTTTAGTCTAAAAAGCAATTCTCACCCTAAGGCTTTTACAGAGCTGTATATCTGCTGCCATCTGCTGGTCCCTTGCTAGAATGGGGGAAAAAAGGGGGAAAAAAAAAACCAACCTAGGACCAAATGACTGATCTTTTTTTGGACTTGGGTAAGGGCCACTTTGCTGTTACAAGATCACGTGTCTTCTGGGCAGGGATGTGAAGTAACTCATGGGGTTTAATCAGCTGCTGTGCCTGGGAAGAAGCCAGGACCACAGTGGGTAATTCCAGACCTTGGTGATGCACTGAAAATTTATGATCACCAAAGTTACAAATCAGGCACTAGCTGTATACCTTTAGGGCTGTGCCTGAGGAGAGTACCCTGTTCGTTATTACGTGTTTTGGCTATACCTGTACTCAACAGCCAAGACTTCTGTCATAACCGTACTCTGGGAAACTGAGCCTGTGTCCTGGTAACAAAGCTCTATCCAGGTCCACACACATCAGCACTCTTTGAGTAGCTTAAGCTTTGGCATGCCTTGATTAGAATAGTTTAATTTTAAACTATAAAGAAAACTGTCATGGGACAGTATAGTCAGATCCTCTCATTTTATAGATGAGGACAGTAAGACAGTCCATGGGACTCCATCAGTTACTCAAGGGTACACAACTACTCAGAAGCAAAATAAAGAGAATTGGGTTTTGCCTAGTCCCAGTTCACTATTTCTGCTGCACCACATTGCAAACAATTGCCACTCCAAATCTCCTGCTGTCTCAGACAAGCTTTTAGAGTGTTTGCCTCTTGGTCTCCAAGTCCACCCCATTCCAGCTTCGTATCCAGAACACCCTCCAACACCCAGGTCCACAATGATGATCATACGTTACCATGGTGATGCCTAGACTCCAAATGTCGGACTTCACACTGTATCCCTTCTGGTTGAGCTCTGGGTTTATTCTCTCAGGCTGAAAAGTAGACAGAAAAGGACAACTGAGATAACACTCTTGACTCAGTGAAGTCTCAGGTGGAGAGGTGGCACCAGCTGCCAAGTGAGTTGTTGTAAGCGGTTAGCTATGCCTCCCAGGCCAAGAAGACTTGCTAACCACAATAAACATCAGCATCTCCACGGGGTGTTCCACATTCTCCATGCACCTTTTCTTGGAGACAGTAATGGATCAAAGTCCCCCTCACACTTCAAAAGCAACTTCAGTTTTGCCTTAAGAAGAAACATGGCACACATGATAAAGCTACTCTGCCAGCCTAGGATTTTCCTTGTTTACACCGACAGTCTGGAACTCAGCAGAAAGAATCAGCAAGAATCACGGGGCTACTGTCTGGTGTGAACAGACCTCAGCAACTTTTAGCTAAATGTTGTTCAACTCCAAGCACAAGTCCATTTCCAAACAGGCTATTTACAGTGGAAGTCCCTTGAGTTGAACAGTCCCAAGGTCTTTGCTCATGGCAGTCAATCTTCACAGCTGTGAGGTTCCCTAGGGACTAACCTGACTCGTTTGGGGAACTTAAATTCTCTTCTCTGTTCTGTTCTCAACAAACAAGGTAGCACTCCCCTGCAGCTCAGTGTGGGAAATTGTCTGGGCTCTATGTATTACTTACTT